ATCAGACTCTACAATTTATGTTATTTAATTTCAATGTTAAACATTAGCGACTGACGTAAAGTTCGTTCAGGTATAGTTTAATAGACGCAAATTTTTTCAGCTAGTAGTTGATTCGTTGCCACGTGTTCCCTGAGCAAATAAAATTAAAACGCGAAAAACGAATGCAAAAAAAATCCAAGAAGTGCTATAGGAAAGGACACTACGTTAAAAAAATATAGGCGTAGTGTATTCGATATTCGTCAAAGTTAATTTATTGTTATCAACTACTGAAAAAGAATCTAGTGTCGGCAAAAATAGGTGTTCCAAATTTAAAAAATAAAATACTGCGTTATATAATATGAGCGTATAACAAAGTAGTGTCAACGATTTGAAACTTTGCCAATACTCGCATTACCTTAACCTTCTATATGTCTCCCGAAATCTTGATTTCAGATTCATGAATGCCCGTTCTCCTGAAACAAAATGACAACATATGTTCAATGTTCGTCATTTTGAAAGCGTGAATCACAACATTTTTAATTTATTGTATTCGTAAATATAAGTTTATTTTTTTGTATGTTTACATTCGTGAATTTAATATTCATTCGATTTTTAGTCGTTAATATCCGTTATAATGGTAGAATTTTTTTTTTTAATGAATTAGTATTAACATTGCAAATTATACAAGTGCTAATTGCATTTCAAACAAAAAATTAAAAATTAATTTAAACAAATTTACGAATAATTTTATGCAATAATATAAGTTTAAAACTATAGAATTACATTATTCTTACCTATAAAAATATCAATATTTTGGAATACTATTATTTTAGTTGAAATTCTAATATTATTTCGTTAAAACCAATGGCCCCTCAAATGATAAAGGTCATAGATGTCACTTCGTGTATGTTAGACGTATCTATACGACTATACGATACTGGTTAAAATATATTCATCGTAACAACTGGGTTAAAAATTAAAAACAAAACAAAATTTATGTCCTAGAATTTAACTAGGCAAATAAAATGTTCGTATAGTTAATGATTTTACGAATTATTTATTCTTAAAGTAATTAAAAATTTGAAAAACTTGAACTAGAATTGGATCGGTTTTAAGGAGTTGAGTATAGATAATTCTACGTGCGTGTGTGCGTAATGCGCGTGATGGGCTTTTGTGCTTGTAAAGGACAGACTTCTATAAATTAGAAATGTAGTATAAAAATATAAGGAAGGATGTAAATGTTAAAAACAAACAAGAAAAACTTAGTTTACTCATAGAGTAATTAATTATTCTATGAGTTTATCACATACCTGTTTATAGTTAATATATTATGTTTGAAATGTTTGCAGATAGATAAGAAATTTGAAACCAAACCACTTCAAAATGGTTACATAATGATAATTATATGGTTTCATTTCGTTACCTGACTTTATAATTTATGATAAGTGATACTAATAATATGATCATTTTATATTTAAAACATAGAAAACACATAAATCCAATTTTTTAGGGTTTGTATTTCTATAAATAATTAACAATATCAGAAGTAACTATAGTGTCCCGAAACTACATTCGTGCACTTTGTGTTTAATGTACTGACAATGTACCACATTCCATATTAAAATTATTATTATATCGTATAATTGTTTAAGATACAAGTTCTGTATTATAACAGAGGTGCAAATAAAAATATTAGTTGATTTGAGGAGGGTAAAAAAAGWTTATATCAGGACAAGTTCACAAAAAATTGGCATGAAGGAACAATAATTAAAAAACTGAATGAACCCAGATCCTATTTAATGGAAGACAAATGTGACAGGTCATAAAGGAGGAATATCAGCTTTCTAAAGAAACTAAGAATAGGTAGACAGAACAATATAGATGGTGAAAAAGAAGAGTCTTGTGAGTCGAGTATTATAGAAAATTACAACAAAATGTCTAGACAATCAAATCAAAAAGAATATAAAACCAGGATAGATAAAAGGAAATCAAACCTAAAAAATTAGACTTATAAGATTATGGTTACGTCCTAACTTAATTAATTTAAACATAAAAAAATGTTATGTGCATATTATCATTCACTATTAAGTTTTCTTTGTACTATCTTAATATTCAGCGACGGTCGTCGCTGGTGCAGGTCGTGGTGAGGAATAAACGGTGAAGCTCATTCTACATGCGCGAAACGGTCCCGTTCTTTCGTGAGATAGACTATAGTGATGTACAAAACATTCTGTGCATCCCATGGATTTACCCTATTTTAATCCCTATTAAAGATTTTTTACACATTCATTATAAAGGCCCAACATTTTTAACTTTGTAAAAGCTTTTTACAAATTTTTAATATTTAGCTTTTTAAAAAAATTTTAAAAATGTACCTCATAACAAATTGGTAATTTTTGTATAATCAATAGCAACCCTATAATTAACAAAAATATGAATAAATATATACTATCCATGGGATAGTGTATTTTTTTGATAAAAAAAAATTAAATCGGTTAAGTATAGTTCCAGATATTTATTTATTATTATTATTAATTACCCGAACAAATATATAATTTTGAGATTCTTCAATTTATTATTATAGACTGTGACTTTAATAGAAAATCATTCTAAAATGAACAGGATCAAGACGTATTTTGTGAAATCCACTGGATGTCGCCAGCAATATGTGTAAAAATATATTTTGTTCTAACCTGACCATGAAAAAATAAAATTTGTGACATAAATTCACCTAGTTTCGATTATATGATTATAATTTTAAAATAAACAGATAGATTTCTTTTCGTAGAACGTATAGGTTGTATGAATGTAATAATTTAGTAAAACTACTTTAAAGTTTAAAAAGGTAATTAAAAAAAGTATTGAATCAGAGATGTCTTCATGTCTTCACCTGCTCACAATACTGTCTATATTATTAGGATCAAAGTTTGCAGGTTAGGTAGAAATTACAAGTTATAAGACGCGTCGTCCACACAATTTTAAAAAGTAATCATATGGAAAATAAAATTCAAACAATTTCAAAGATTAAAAACGAATTAGCCTTAAAAAAAAAAAATATTCACTTCTCGTAGAGTTTGATCTTTTATTGGTTTTTGAAAGTGTACCTAAAGCATTGCCTTTCTTATTGAATTCCAATATTTGAATTAACTTTCAGCAATGCTAGAAAAATATATTTTAAAATACTAAAGAATGAGTGATGCATACATTGACATTTATTACAGCATTTAATTATTTTTTCTCAATTATATTTAAGTGGTTTAGTTGTAGAGAAAAATAATGATATTTTTTATTAGAGTTTTTTTATTTGATGCGGGGAAACTGGTTAGAATTCTTAAAGGTCCACCAATGGTATGTTGTGTCGAATCTATGTCATAAATATGACAATGTGAGTATGAAGATGTCAAATTCCAACCCTCGTCGGCAGTTTACATCATATCAACTGACGAATAGCGTGTCAATATGTAATTTATTGACGCTCAATAAGTAATATTTTTGTGTACATAATTAGTATAGTTCCCCACGTCCTAAACCATTATTTTGGAATGTCTCACAATACATCACACCATAATTATATGTATAAAATGATTGCCAAACTTTTTATTTTTGTAAATGTACTTTTAAAGTTTTAAAAGACATATTAAAACAATAATATCGTTATGACTGCTTAGAAAGCATACACTTATCTATAGGCTTTAATATAAACGAAGCAAGTGATATATCAAGCATATTATAGCAAACAAACTATCAAAAATACATTTTACATACATACAGGGTTAAATATTAATGTAGATATTTTATAAAACATTATTAATTTTATTTTATTACATTTTGTAACATATAACAAATTTTATTTACATATTATTATTAGATATAGACTTTCGATACACTTTATATTGCTGTTCTATAACATGTCATGGAAATAACAAAAACAATATAATAAAATAATAACAATAAATTATATAATAAAAAACAGAGGGATTACTTTAAAAAAAATGTATTTATTTATAGGTAATAATAATCAAAATTTTTCACCAAATGAAATTATGATAGTATTATAGTATATAGTATATAGTATATATATATATATATATATATATATATGTATATATATAGTATATATATATATATATATTATATAGTGTATATAGTATATATATAATTATGATTATTTTTCAAATATTTCAATGTTTAAAATAACTTTTCAAACCAATTCGTGAAACAGCTAGGTATAATGGGTTAAAATGTTTTCAATGAACAAATAAAATGACTTAGAAAATAACAAATTTTCCTATTTTGTAAATTACTGGATGTCTAGAAAATTCCAATTTCAGACTCACTCCGTCCCAGAATAAATAACCTATGTTTCATGTATACTTGAATCAAATTAAACAGTTTTTATTTGGTATTTCTTTTGAATTTTGATTTTTTTTTAAATTTATATAAAGAATTTTATGGTTTTTAAGGCGTTTAACATTAAAATACGATTTTTAATAACTTTAATCTAAGATTTTGGACTTAAAAAGTAACTTTGTAGGTTTTCACCGAATCGAGTGTTATTAATCAAACAGATCCGATATTTTTTGGTTCAAACCTTTTTTTTAAATTTGACGTTTTTACTGGTTTTTTAATGTGTTTCATTATATACCTAGCTCTATTTAATTATAATTAATTTTGGTCATATTTCCAGGTACACTGCATAGATACCAGTAGAGAGCACGATTCGTGCAGTCCGACGACGACGACGACGATCACCTCCAACGTCGCCGACTTCCGACCAGCCAACGAAACAAACGTCCGTTGATGTGGTTTTTTAAACATAATAATAATAATAATAATAATAATAATATAATATAATATTATTGTATACACCTATCTATATTATATTATTATTATTTTTTGTGTCGTGCGTCGAAACTCGTAATCGCATTGTACACACGCACAGGCGCGCGCGTACACCCGCACACCGAACACCGAACACCGATACACTAGCGCACGCGCACGCACACACACGCGAAACCGGTATGTCAGCTGTGGCGGCGGTGGCGGCGGCGGCGACCGCGACAGACGATCCGGACGGATACGAAGCCGGCAGTCAGGAGGACGACATGGGAGCCGCCGAACGGGATTTGGCTGAGGACGCTCGCTGGAAGCTCATCCAGCAGAACACGTTCACACGATGGGCCAACGAACACCTAAAGACGGCCGGCAAGGCCATTGGCAACCTGGAAACGGACTTGGGCGACGGGCTCCGATTGATCGCCCTCATCGAGGTGCTCAGCGGCAAGCGGTTGCCCAAGCACAATAAGCGGCCCACATTCCGGTCGCAGAAACTGGAGAACGTGTCCGTGGCGCTCAAGTTCCTCGACGACGAGAACATAAAGCTGGTCAACATCGGTATGTACACTGACACGACAATAATAATAATTAAGTACTATAGTCTATAATATAATATAATAATATTTGAATTTACCGAATTTGGTGGTACGGCTTAACATAGAAATTTATAATAGTCCGAAGTTCGCAGTGAAACTGTTTTGTGTAAATATAAGTTATATTATAATTATCAGTTACACTACACTGCTGAATACTTTATCGTAACTGATATTATTATTATTATTATTATTATACTAAACTACCCCGCGTAAATATCAGAATATTATTATTATTTTGATATAGGTACCTATCGTGGTACATATTTAGACAGATACAACGACGATAATGTCAGTATATTATTATAGATATAAAATATATGGTAATGTTATAGGTATGTTCGTTTACTTGAATTTATATTTTTAGTCGTCGGGTTAAGTACCTAGGTGCGTGGTGAAGTATATTATTTTATTAAACACATATTTTGTCTTGTTTTATACCTACTTACGAATTGTACGGTACGCGTACGGGATATTGGTGATATTGTTTCGATGCATAGAAACAATGGGATTCTAGTTTATCGTCTGGGAAACCATTTCGTATTGTCAACCAATCTTGTACAGAAAACCATAACTAGTAGATGGTATTATTACCTAGCCGGATAGTGTAAATATCCTAAATAATTTTTTTCAAAAATTCGGAGATATTGATTATAATTATAAAACTATTCTACCTGTATACAAATAGAATATTTAAAATAAAATCACCTTTCGTTTTAATTCTATAACATAAAATTTGATATTATTATTATACATTATAGCGAATAGCGAAAAGCTCGTAAAATCCCTATAGATTAATATTTTTTAATATAGGTACAACAAAATAATAAGAATTATTATTTATCATTAATGTATACAATTTTTTTAAAGGATTACTAAAAAAATACATTGTACAACCATTACAAAGTTGGACCGTTCAGAATCTCAAACATATTTACCGATATGTTAATACCTAAGCAGTAAGCACTTATTACAAACGGTTTTGTAAAAAAAGTCCCACGATCTCGGTAACATCCCATTATTAAACATAAACAATGTCGAGGGCTGCTTGATGCCTGATTTTATAATTGTGTATAATAATATAAATGTATAAATATTTATATTAGGATGGTCTTATACTCTTATGTAATAAAACTTAATTTATTTGCTTATATACGATCTGATAAAAACTAAAATTAATCCAAGATAGGTAACAAGTGCTGCTCTCCTTAAAAATGCGTCGAAGTATTTTACTATATATTATATTTCACTATATTACTAATATTTTACACTTACTACATTATGCCCTTTCGGGATATAAGATTATATGTTGCAAGTGAATTAAAAACAATTTTTATTTAATTTTTATAATTACTGCTTTTTATATTTAATTGAAATAAATCGTATAGAAAAGATTTTCGTACCTGTGTAATACAGTTACGATTAATAATCACAGAATATGTCAAAAAAAATAATTCCATTGAGCAAATAGTTTATTTTTTATACATTAGACATTTTAGGAAATTATTTCAAATTTCGAATGTTATGTGTTCTTGTTCAATAAGAACTTGTGTAAAACATTTAAAATCATACTACTAATTATTGGTCTTTGTTTATTTATAAGGCATATAATATTGTTTTATGCCTTCTCAATATTCTACTATCGTAAAATATAAGGTAGATATATCAATAAAAATGCATTATTTTTATTTTTTTATGATATCGAAATAGCAAGTTATAACATATGATTTAAAAATTACCTCAAATTAATCCCAACACACGCTAACCTGACAAATATAAAACAACAAGCAAAAATAAGTAACTCTAATTTTCAAGTTTTCATTCACATTGTAATAATATGAATCGTATTTTATGCTTATCTAGCATAATAATATACAATATACCGTTGACCAGAAAATATGCAAATGTGTACCAAAGTCCTTGCTCTAATTAATAACATAAGTGAATACACGTATACATTTGTTTGTACACCAGTGTATATATATTAATAGATACACGTATTTTAATGTTAATGAGTATACTAACCATGCCATCACCTATTTTATTTTTCAAAAAATCTATACCCAGTCTACGAGGTTTTAAAATAATATAATCATATGCCATCAGCCCGATGAATTACTTTTAGATTCCGCAGGTCGATTAAGATCGTTTTATAAACCAATGGTGTCAAATGTTTAACCTTGTTTAAATAACTAATCTTTGTTTTTATTTTTATGTATATGCATTGTCAAATATGCTTTTTAAATTTATTGATTGAATTCAATAATGGTATTTTATCTGCAATATCATTAAATACACATTTATCGTTTTAATCAAGAGTTCGAATATTGTTTTTATTTAACAAACCATAATATATAGGTATATAATATATTATTATACCTACTTTAAGCGGTGCATTATGTTTTTCCTAGTCATTTAAAATCATAAAGTGTGTGGGTTTTACAGGGTGTGATTTTATGAACTCCAGACAATGGTTATCATAGTTGACTTTCGTGTCTTTACTATATTATTAACTCATAAAAAAAATTTAATTTTCACCTCTTTTATTTCCTTGATAATGTTTTTTTTTTTTTTTTTTTTTTTATGAAGATAATAAATTCTTAGTATACCTATTCTATTTGTTATTTCATATCTCAAAATTGTCCGAATGCTGACGTAACTGCAGTGCTATAATTATAATTGCTTAATTATTGATATAGTTTTTTTTTTTAGAAGTATTTAAAAAGTTTACAGAAGACGTGTGAAGCGACCGTATGGAATATTTTGCAGCCATGCTGTACTACTCCAAATATTTAAAGTCTAAACTTTCTTATCTCAGTACCTAATAACCTATCGTTTTCTAAACAATTATCGCAATATTATTCGTTTAATATTCCTACGTTGACATTATTTTTTTTGAAAAGCCTTCTGATACAGAAGTGTTATCTGCAAACTTATATAAAACACAAAAAAATATGGTGGTTGTTTTGTTTTCTAAAAAATCATCCTGAACAAATGATAAACCGTATTAAAACTTAAGTGTTAAAAAATATGTCACGTGACACACTCACACACTACAATAATCAATAATCAATGAACAAAATAATATGTAGGTATCGTTTTTATTATTCAATATTTTTACTTTAAAGCAGTATATACTTTCAGGGATATATGCGGCATAATATACGAAAAATTACAACTATAGGAAAGATCACTTTCCAAGTGTGCTAGATTTCTAAACTTATTTTAATACGATTAACTATATTTTCAAATACATTTTAAATAGAATTAAGCAACCCTAATATTTCGGTAGTTTTTTTCGATGGTATGAATTTATAGATTATACTCTTATGCAATATGTAATCACATTGATATAGAGAATCGTAACTATTTTCTGATAAGTATAGACGAACAGACGCCACGGGGATATAAGGTGTTCGAAATGTTTTATGTTTAGAAACTTAAAATGATTGAATGTAAAACACTAAGTAGCTAAGGCGTGTTTCTGTAGGATTTGACAAGTTGGCAGGCTTACACTGAAAATGCGTTTAGATAGGTAGGTAGGTACCAATATGTTTTCTATAGATATGATCAGTTTTTACCCTCAAAGTCTTGCCATGGCATAATATATTGGGTGGTACCCATATTATTATAAAGCACTTCACTCTAAAATATTTTGTGGAAATGAATCGATAACGAACAGCTATTAAAATTTAACTTGTAAACCGCCGTTATCGTACCTATATCACTTACTATAATATATGATGGTTGTTATTATAGTACACATACGTAGGTAGTTTACGTCAAGTTTGTTTAGTTTTTAAGGTATATTTTTACGATGTCATATAAAAAAAAACCATCCAGTGTACAAACATCGATGTTTGGTTTGTATAATGCTCTCGACTTGATATGCCCTCTGCATATATGTACAAGTTGTATACAGTCGATACTCAAGGAGGTTAGGTATCAGCAGTACTGATATTCTGTGGTAGGTCGCAAATAAATATTTGCTTTTTTCGTTAGGTCCATTGCAGGAGAGAATGTCACGTAGTAAATGCCACGATAATAAATAATAATGCACAAATATTAAAATAAAATATCCATTTTAGTTAGTTATAATTATGTTTTATAATTTTATATTATGCATTAAACGTTTTTACCTACTTTACACTATCCGGTGTGGTGTAGGTCGTCGTTCGAAGGTTTTTTTATTTTAACCACTTTTTTGGCACACGCTGTCATTATATTAATGACAATGTGTTATACCTTGTAAATATAATTTTTATTATAATATTTTTATTTGATACTATTATTGCAGTTTTCAAATAAAAATACCACATGCCATTTACTATACCTATACCTATATTTATAGGTATTATTATTGTTATCATAGGTACAGTTAATATTATAATTTATAATGCATGCAAATATCACGTTGTTATAAAACATTGAAATGTAAAAAGATAAAATCACAATACTATAGTTGTATACATTTAGAACGTTTCGATGTTTGAAATTTTGCATTGTCAGTTTGGTAAGTTGCTTACGATTTCTTTGTAGATCGGTGATCGCCGCGTACATAAAAGTAAGTCCGTAAGGTACATATTATTCATTATTATTCTTTCCATATGATTATAATACGATGTGAATCTTATGATATTATTATTATTATTATTATTATTAAGGATACAATTACAATACTCGTCGTTTAACATCTGCAGGTGCAAGTTGGATATCTGACGATCCGCGACAGCGCGGCGGCGACTCGATCGCATACAATGTTTATGCGATAATTATAATATCTTCTATTTGTTTTTTGTAATGACACTCAAAATATTGTAGGTACCTGTCTGTAATCCATATACCGCAGGTTGATCCGTTTCAATCAATGAAGCTAACATTTTTTTAGAAAAATATTATATTTTTGAGTATCAAACTGGTAACATAATATATTATAATATTATATTATACTATAATATAGGCAAA